AGTCTATCCTTGTCCTGCGTCAGGCCTAAGCGGCAATATCAGACGGACGGATGGACGGACGGACGGACGGACAGACAGACAGACAGACAGACAGATAGACAGATAGATAGATAGATAGATAGATAGATAGATAGATAGATAGATAAATAGATAGATAGATAGATAGATAGATAGATAGATAGATAGATAGATAGATAGATAGATAGATAGATAGATAGATAGATAGATAGATAGATAGATAGATAGATAGATAGATAGATAGACGGATGTATAGACGGATGGATGGATGGATGAACGGACGAACGCATGGACGCTTCGAGCAACAAATCAAAACGTTATAGGACGTAAGGCTAGCAGCTGACTCATTTGGCGTGAGGTCAGGAATACCTAAAACAAAACGCTGCCTTAAAGAAATGTCGTCGCCGCAGCGAGCGAAGTGACTTTGAAGCCGTCTATGGATTCAGCGTGAAATTTGCGATGAAAACACAACACCTACAAAGGTACGAGCCGCAGTGCACTTCAAAGAACACCAGATGGTTCAAATTTCCGGAGTCCTCCTCTACGATGTCTTATAATCATGTCGTGGTTTTGGGACGCTGCCTGCTAATTCGCTCTAAGCCATAAAGCGTTCGCGAATGCGGGTGACAACACCCAACTAGTCGAAGTACAAGCATAAAATACTTCCACGGGAAATAGTTGAGTGACGCAAAATAGAGAGCGAAAAAAAAAAAGTTGCTTTGGACAGAATAGGCGCTCCGCAACGTTAATTCCTGCTTTGTGTCGTTCAACTATTTCACAAATCAGTGTCAACTAGCGGAGCAGTCAACGCCTTCGAATTACATATTTCTTGTCTTCTAAGCCATGAAGTCCCCCTACCTCCCCCCCCCCCGTTTTTTACATGCACATTTCACGTCACTAAGACAATCGATGCGCATTGACACTCAATAATTATCTGTTGACGCCCGCGTGACAATTTTTTTTTTCTAAGTCAGTATATTGTATGCTTGTATGAGCTCGTCGTCATTATACACGCTTATGCAGTTTATATCTGTGGCTCTTTATATCAGGTTTCGATGTTGCTTATCGTCAGTCGAGAAACTACAGCGTGCCTCCTTTGTTAACTATACCTTGCGGACACACAATTTGCGCGTTACATGAAGATCCGACTATAGACGAACTTCTTATAATCAGGACTGAACTCTACGTGTTACAAACTGTGGATCAGCATGAACGCCGTCTGTTTGGATGGATATACTACTATTCGATAAGTAATGCTCCCAGTTACCCGCATTATAAGCATCGATGTTCATGGTTGCAAACATCTCCATACTGTGCTTCTGTTCATAAAAGAGCATGAAAAGAAAAAAAAAATGAAGGGAAGCTATGCGAGCCGCGCAACAAAACAGGCGCACGGCAACTAGCTTAGCGCTGAGCACAAAATAGCGCTAGCGCGGAATTCCTCTGAGAGACCGCAATGAATTCAAGTGTTTGCTCTAAAATGCGATGTGCTGCAAAAGGTCTACCGGCTGACAGCATCAGCCGAGCGGGAAGAGGGAGATGCGGGAGCTCCTCTGGGACTCCATCGCGGGGCGTCCCGAAGGACCGTGGCCGCGGAAATATATTGCCTGGCGCCGGGCCAATAAAAGTACAGCTTGCGTTCCACGCCGGGCAGCAAAGCGAAGCGAGGTGGGCGGAAAACCCGAAAAACTGTGGTGCCAGAAAGTTGCAGGCCACTGGTGGCCCAGAAGCGACGAAGCGAGCTCGGAAGGATAAACGGTCGAGCAGCGGGCAGGGAGAACCGTGCACCGCGAAAGCGTATACGCGAGGGGCTAAGTGGGAGAGCGAACTGCAGAAAAAAAGAGGCAAATACCGGCCAAGTGTAAAGTTGAAGCAAAAATATGAGCTGGGTGCTGTGGTAAAGTGATGTCACAGAGGTAAAAGTGCCGAGAAAAAATCCTGCCGACAAAGCAAACGGCCCGGTTTAGCAGGTGCGTTTTGGACTTTTACAAAGTGGCTTATTTTTTTTAACCCTTCTTTTTTGTTTGGGGAGTTCTCTCCGAAAACGGGGCGGCGAGGTTTACGATAAAGCTCAATATCCGGCTATAGCCTGGGGAACATAGCATCTAATTGGAAAGCTTTGGCATGTGGTAGTTTTTTGGACCTCAAACGTGGTCCTCGAAGTTTTAGCAGCGTTGGGAAAGCATATATGCGTGGATCCCATATGTTCCCGCTGGAACTCAACAAAGTTGTTTCAGTCAATCATTCTCCCATAAGCTGTTGTCAAAGGGTGTATACCTGTGTACCTGGCTATTCACTATAAAAGTGGCGTCAAGCACTCGTAAGTTGACATCAACATCCTATAGCGTCGATGCTCTCACAATTCTTACAGCTGCAGCTTTAAATGTTGGCTGACACAGAGTTATGCACAAATAGTTAGATACTGGGGCCCTAACTCAAAAAGCAAATCACCTGCTGCAAATTTAGGCGAATCTACACTGCTCATATAGGACTTAGCTCTTGTTTTGCGGGCTAAGTTTTGCGGTATACATGTGTCAGTGAATGGCGCTCTGTAATGGGCTGCATGGAATACTGCGCACTTTTTCGTATTTTGTACGGCTGCAGCTAGTGAAACAGCCGTCGCTTTGCAGGACGCAGATGTTATGCGTTGCGAATTGAGAGCCACGCCGACGGACTTACCACAAATGGAAAAAGCTTAACGGCTGCTGTACGCAGCCATCCTCGATAACGTTCGTTCACTTCAAGTGCGAGGCACAGCGTTTGAAATACAGGGTTTCATGAATACTGCCGCACTTCTTTTTCAAGTTTTGTTATCGCCTCGTTATCGTTGTCCTCAAGTTTTGTTATCGCTCCACTGTCAGTAATCCTCAGCGCAAAGCGCGCCTGCAGTGTTGGAGAAGCTTAGGGACTGCAGTAGATCATTTTGATAAGATTACGCCCACTTTGCGAACATTACATATTATTCTGGAACCTACGTGGCCGCTATAGCAATAGCGCTAGAATATTCGACGGCACGTGTATAACTTCCGACGCGCTTCATCGATTGTCAGTTCATCGACGACCGACGCTCTGTTCGCCGCTATCGGTACCGGCGTGCATCGCTGTAATCTGACTTTTCATTGACTGGCCGCAAGTTAAGCCTAAATGAACGGTTTCATATTCGACCTATACAGACTCTGCCTTCGTCGACGTCACGACCCCGTCACAACACAGTCGATGATTGATTGATTTATTTGTGGGGTTTAACGTCCCAAAACCACTGTATGATTATGAGAGACGCCGTAGTGGAGGGCTCCGGAAATTTCGACCACCTGGGGTTCTTTAACGTGCACCCAAATCTGAGCACACGGGCCTACAACATTTCCGCCTCCATCGGAAATGCAGCCGCCGCAGCCGGGATTCGAACCCGCGCCCTGCGGGTCAGCAGCCGAGTACCTTAGCCACTAGACCACCACGGCGGGGCCACAACACAGTCGAGCTTCGTTATAACTAAGTAGCATCGCTACCGTAACTTTGTTCGCTATATATGATATCTGTTGTAACGGCATAGGTGAAAATCTACTGAGCTACTCGGCAGTCTGCCTCGCGCAAGCAATCCTAGATACAAAGACGCAGTATTCTTCAAAACCGCTATAAACGAGGTAATTATTACCTATCTTCTTCTAGCACACGTTTAAGTCGTGCAACCAGGTGCCACCTTTTCTAACTAAAGGCGTAACCAAATGTTTAATGTCACAATCACACATTAAAAAAAAAAAACAAATGTGACTGTGAATAGCTTTTCAGTAAACGTTTCGCTATTTATGATTCTTTAGCCTCGTGCCAACAAAATATTACTTCGTTATAGCCCATATAGTGGTGGCTGTCGCATTTTTGGTTTCGGTAATAAAATACATGTTACGAAAAGGAAGCTCGACCAACCAAAGCACGCATTTTACTTCGCTGTAACCGATAACTCGTAATACCCGTGCTCGGTATAACGATGATCAACTGTTTGTGATTGACTGCTTTTGAGAATAATTGCTAAAAACTCAGTGCGTCTAAGACGAAACCAGAACACAAAGTGGTCACGACAAGCACTGGAAACGTTTCTATGTGATTTTTTGTTCGTCCTAACTGCGCGACGTCCAAAGCAACTCTAAACATGCTCACCCAAATGAAGACCTTGCTTTTTGAACGGTCTGTTTTTTTTTTTTCACGTCTCCTTTCAGGAAGTCGAGCCGGTGGACGCTGAAGTGTTATTAGAATATAATGGCGCGTCCTACATAGCCAAAGCACGCACCGAACACAAAGCGTTACAAAATCTTCGATCTTGAATAGAAACCTCTCAAGGCATTCTCGGGGGTCCCCGGGGCTTTCAATTTTCCCGAGTCTATGCAAAACGGTCCGGGCGATCTTGTCTTGTTCCTCCCAGTGGCCTTTGTTGCCAGAAGCACATACAGAATGGCCGACGACCTGTGTCGCTGGATGGCTCACTCGTCTTGTGCTATTTCTTTGGAAGTTCTTGTCAGGGCCATCTCTTCGGCGCTGTTTACCTTTTTCTCTTTCTTTCTTGGCCGCAGTGCAAAGTCGCTGGGAGGAAGTTCGTTGCCGAGGAAGCCGACCTCCTTGTCTGCAAGAGCACACCGTCGTCTCCTGGAAGGTTCGCCCTTCTTTTATTCCAGATTTATTCAATAGTTCGTTGGCTTATATCGTAGAGAAGCATGTCTACTACTCGTGGCTGAATAAAAAGAACACTATTATGCTAAAGGTTTCTTTCTTTCTTTCTTTCTTTCTTTCTTTCTTTCTTTCTTTCTTTCTTTCTTTCTTTCTTTCTTTCTTTCTTTCTTTCTTTCTTTCCTTTCCTTCTTTCTTTCTTTCTTTTTTTCTTTCTTTCTTTCTTTCTTTCTTTTGCTGAGACAAGAGTGTGGGAGCATGCAATGCAAGTTCACTGTCCTCATTTATAATGAAAATCGATTTTCCTTCCCAATGACCTCTTTCCGCAGGGCAAGTTGTACGTGTTCGGCGGTGAAGTTGGCTTCGCGTCGACTGGCGAAACGCCGCTCTGGATATTCGACACAGGTGAGAAACCGCGGTGGATGACTTGAAATTCCCCTGGGCATTCGATGGATGAATGATAGTTCTTAATAATATTGTGTTTAACAAAGGAAAAAACAACAAGCCCCTAAAATGTCTCTTCCTTTTTGAAGGCCACATAAGACGACTTAGACGCGCTGTAATCTTTTTTTTTTTCTTTCGCGGACTTGAACAGCAGTTAACACGTGTTTTATACCCTCCACTACGGCGTCTCTCATAATCATATAGTGACTTTGGGACGTTAAACCCCACATATCAATCAACACGTGTTTTATAGCGATGATGTTTCTTGGAACATCTACAGTGTTCCAAGTAAAATCGTGGTGCACATTTGAAAGACAACGATAAATCAACAAAACAATAAAAAACGTGTGAAATCCTTATATGGTGGCGCATTCGTTATACTCTCTGCACGTTCATCTCAGATTTTTATGTAGCGAGACACAGAACACACTGAGATTTCCTGTGTACCTTTCACATCCGTACTGGCGTAGGTGTGGCCTAAACTGTCGCGTCGCAGTTCGTGGTGTTGCGTTGACAGCTGTGTACGCACACCCTCGTGTATCGTATGACAGGCACTTGGAGAATTTTCCTCTTACTTGCTGAAGATTTCATATTTCTATCTTGTTTTCCGGATTTCTCGTGATCAGTTAGCAGTGTTTCGTACTTAACGTATGCACTGCATTTCTCAGCGTTTCCTTGTTTAGGGTATGGGAAGCGTGTACTAGATGCGAGGTGTTTAATTCCACGACCTAATTCAAGCGGCGTGCTTAAAAAATTGTACGAATGAAACGTCGACCCATAAATGCAAGTGCAGAACTGTGGTGTGCGACGTCGTTCTAACTCGATAGCCTTCAAGCGCTCGTTTCGTAGAAATTCCTGTGTCGGTGTCGTTGGTTGCGAGCTGAAAATCAGTGTTGTCCGTGAATGAAAACTTTTAGAAAAAATTCAAATAAAATAAACAACAAAAACTTTCGGTACGAGTGAGAGTCTATTTTTATTGAGTTTTGCGTAGCAAGCAGATGTTCTACCACCCAGAAATGGAATTGCTTTGATTTGCTTCGGAAAAAAAAAGAAATAAAAACACTCTACGAATGTCATGTAGTGGGAATAGCTTGCTTACATCACGTAATATTGCGTGACAGGAGTGTAGAATCGCGCTAGCTATCCAGACATGTGAAATGTGTAATGGTTGGGAGTTTTAAGTTTTTTACAAAGTGGTGGAACGTATTTAACCACCATTATCAATTAATGCATCACTGACAAAGTAAGCAGGTGCGTAGGTTCGCTTGTTGCCTTACGGACACACGATGTGCCTTTCGAAGATTCTCAGAAATAATAATTGCTCTGTTGTGGGAAACTTCGCAAGAGCGCTAGCAGTAGTCATTCTAAGACAGTTTCAAACGTCCAACGTCATGCGCACAGAGGTGCGTTTCACCGGGGCACGGTTGAGCGGCATGCACCGAGAACCGAAGCCATGGAGGCTGTAGCATTTCACAAGGCTACAGTCTCTGCCTTCGTCGACGTCACCGCCCCGTCACAATACAGTCGAGCTTCGTTATAACGAAGCAGCGTCGCTACCATAAATTTGTTCGCTATATGGGATATTCGTCGTAAGAGCATAGGTGAAAAAAATCTGCTGGGCAACTCGGCAGTCTGCCTCGCGCAAACAATCCTAGATACATGAGTTCCGATTGCGTTATCGCCTGCTACGTATTTGGAAATGAAGCTCAAGTGTCCTCCTAGTTTTTTTTGTCAGTGATTTATTATTTATTATTATTTGATTTGGATACACAGATACACAATGACACAGAGGAAAGAAGGAGAGAGCAAGCTGGCAACGGCCACCTGGAGGGGCGTGACGCCTGCTCACTCTTTCGGGAGGAGGGAAGAAACAGAGGAGACAAAGATTAGAGGGGAGAAAGAGGAAAGGAGATGAGGAAGGGAGAAAAAAAAGTCGAATATTCGACAAGTATTAGTAAAAAATAACGAAAAAAAAAAGAAAAACAAGAGACCGTCTATAAACGGGTGGCCAGGCCCGTTTGATTCATAAATGCAAGGAGAGCTCGGCGGGCCTGGTCGCGTCGGGAAGCACTGCCACTCGGAAAGTGATTTCCTCGCGAGCCGAGTCAACCACTTCCCCTTGGTGTAGGCCTAGTCAACCACTTCCCCCTGGTGTAGGCCGAGTCAACCACTTCCCCTTGGTGTAGGCATCGGCGATTGCAGAGCACGACGACAATCGCGCAGGTAGCAGCACGTGGCGGAAGCAGTCGGGGGGCGGCGAGCGCCAGCGCCCCAGCGGCCGCAGGGGCCACACGAGCGTGGTGTACAACGGCGCCATGCACGTGTTCGGCGGATACCAGGACCTGCGGGGATCTTCGTCCCAGCTGTGGGCCTTCCGATTCGGTGAGTACAGCACTCGCACACCACTCTGCGAGTGGAGTAGTCGACGACGACTTCGAAACGCTTTACACAACCGCCTGTATACTTAATACGTAAATCGAACTTAGTATGGAAAGGAGAAGCGCGGTACTTGTAAAAAATAAAACTTTCTCACAAATGACACTCAGACGTCAATCTGGGAAGTTCGGAAGCCACCCACGTGACCAAAATATTTTTTCTATTTGAAATATTTTACCAATTCACTATTTTCCATAGAGTAAATTAGCCTACCTTTTTCCCGAATACGTTTGAGACGGTCACCAAATTGATTCGGACGTTTGTCGTGGAATGACCCTGCTGTCATGAAATGTTTGCGAGCGTGCGTTCGAAACTACTTTACTACCTTTCGAGCGTTCGCGAGATAATTTAGCCTCACTCGCACCTTGATGTTTATCGCGCGAAACTTGAACGGGGCTCACGCAGAGATTAGTAAACGCTAGCAGGGAAAAAAGAAAAATAGTAAGAAGACTCAAACGAAACCTTTTTTACATTGGTGCAGTTGTTTTCTTTCAACTCTGTTGTGTGTACACCAGCCGTATTGTGTTGGTAACACAACCCAGCAAACGCGTACCCGGCAATTAGACATCGAGGAACCGCATTCCGCTCCCCGCTTTCCGTGAAGGTCTTGCGCGCACCCGGGCGCAGTTTCGCAGTTGAGACTCTCTCCGACTCGCTAGTGAACCGTCCGAGTCGCGCAATTCGCGGTGCAATAACATAAATCACCTGGTCGAATGTGCACGCAAGTTAGCGCGAAGAAACAAAATAGATAGAAAAGAAGCTGCAACCCAGCCTACCCTTCATTTCGGCTGCGTTGAGTCGCGAGTTGCATATATGGATCACCCCAGTGTATAAACGCTCGATCGCACAGTGGCTCATCGCTGTTTATGTCGGCCTTCTACGACTCCGTGTTCATACTGCATGAAGCTTCTTCCTAGGAAAACTTCCGTACTCGTATCTTCGTACGTATATAACTTCTCTTACCCTCCCTGCCTCGCCGTTTTATTGCGCGTTTAATCCCTCGCATACATTCTCAGTTTTCGCCCCCCCCTCTCCCCCAGTAATGCCCATGGTTCACATGTTTTCGTTTTGCGTGTTGGTACATTTTTAAAAAGCGTTCGCTTATTTTCGTTTTGCTCCCGTGCACATTATAGCCTTCCTCTACTAAATTAGTTCTGCTCCCTCCATTTTTTTTCGTTGTTGACATTTTAAAAAAGCCCGTCGTTGGAGACGGTCTTATACGAGAGCAGATATTGGGGTTCAGGAATCTCATCTATCTTCCGCAGCCGAAAGTCCTTAAAAGGAGAAACCTTTCTCCCCGGGATTGTCATCGCACGCCGCATGGGTTTCGCGCCGAACTTCAACGTCTCTCTCTAATAACTCTGCGATGATAAGCGTCGCTCGGTCGCGGCGAAGCGTCTTGCTGGGATTAAAACCCGCTGTTTTTGGCCGTTCGTGCGTGTCCGTTCTCTTTATTACCTTCCGCGTTGTCTTAGCCGGAACTGTACGTTATATTGCTGGGTCCTCGGGCCGCGCGGTTGAAATTCATAAGCGCCTGCCGCTCCGCTTGTGGTGCCAGGGAAATTCGCGTCTTCATGACGTGTAACGTTACTCTAAGCGTGTTTTCTTATAAGAGTTTTCAGTGTGGCGAGCGAAATGGACTTACGCCCGTACCAGCACACGCATGGACGTGGAGTTATTCTCGAACGCGCTCGAACGGAATATTTACTCTAACATTTACTAGAAAGCAATGTACCATCGTAGAAAAGTAAGACAGCCACCACAATATGTATGATTGTTTACGTGTTCGTCTTATATTTTCAGATTGATGGTTGATATGTGAGATTTAACGTCCCAAAACCACCCAATGATTATGGGAGACGCAGTAGTGGAGGGCTCAGAAAATTTCGACCACCTGGGGTTCTTTGACGTGCACCCAAATCTGAGCACACGGGCCTACAGCATTTTCGCCTCCCTTGAAAATGCATCCCGGGACGCGTGGGTCAGCAGCCGAATAGCTTAGCCACTAGACCACCGCGGCGGGGCGTCGTTTCAGCTCCGAACACAACGACTTTGTCCCGCATTTTTCTGTGTCTTCGTCTTCGAACTTTTGCCAATGTCCTTCATCTCTCTCTCTCTCTCTCTCTCTCTCTCTCTCTCTATCTATCTATCTATATATATATATATATATATATATATATATATATATATATATATATCTTTTATTTTGCTTCTTTACCGTTCAACAGGGTTCAGCACTGGTGGTTTTCTCATTACGGTGAATGAAATACGGATAGATAAAACTGTATACGCGCAACTGATATGCAACCGCGCGTGCCATTGTGTAAGTGGAATGTAAGGTCGTTTCCTACCAAATGACGCGAGAAATATCCAGGTGGAGTAATAATGCCGTCTCGTGTTTCTGCAGGGTTGAAAATGCCGAAGCTAAAAAAGCTTGAACTGTGTCGCCCAAGGCGAAAGAAGAAAGTTAAGAAAAAAAAGAAAGAAAGAGCAGGGATTTGCAAGTCAAAATGTAATTTTGTCGTGACTTTGCTGCTGTGATTCGCGCAATTTTCCGGAAAAGCGCGCGAATGAAAATGGGTCGGCTAAGCAGCCATTTCCGCCGTGAACCCTAGTCGCACAAGCTTGTGGGCAAACCAAAAGGAAATCGCTGAAATTGAATCCGGGCCGCCTCGTTTACGGCCGAGCTGTGCGTGAAAAAAGAACAAGAAAAAAGAAAAAAAGTTTGAATGCGCCCCTAGATGGATAAACCGGCCATTTATTTTTTATTGAATTGTGAAACTGCAGTGTTTGTACGCAACCTTAATTCACGCTGTTCGAGCCGTGTAAAAATCAGCCATCTTGTTCAAAACATATCAAATAGTTCGCGTACATGCTGCACTATCGTGTTCTAGAAATTACCGATATGCGTTCTTGGTGCGTACATGCTCAAGGCTGAACATGTTGGGTGCGCCTACTAGTCCGAACCGGGCGCGACTGTCGTGTCTCTGTTCCGTAGGCCCTGTTCTAGTTTTGTCGATTGTCTTGTAGCGACCTGACATATTCTAAACATGGTTCTGCGAAATGCATCTCTCGCATCTGCCCCGTCAGACCGGCCGCGTCCACTCGCGCGATGCATGTGCGGAATGTGTGCGCGCGAGCTAACAGGCGCCCGCACTTCTCCTCTTCTACTTCCTTTCTTCGCCCTTCGTTACGTCGCGCAAACTTTGCGACGCCTCATGTAGAGAACGACCGCAACGGACCTATCATTCGTGCATAATCTCTCTCTCTCTCTCTCTCTCTCTCTCTCTCTCTCTCTCTCTCTCTCTCTCTCTCTCTTTCTTCTTTCTCTCTATCTCTTTCTTTCTCTATCTCTTTCTCGCTCTCTCTCTCTTTCTTCTTTCTCTCTCTATCTATCTCTCTTTCTTTCTTTCTCTCTCTTTTTCTTTCCTTTTCTCTCTCTTTCTTTCTCTCTCTCCCTTTCTATCTCTCTCTCTCTCACGCGCTCGCTCGACATTTATCTATGAACGATGGCGGCGCACGCAACCGCAGGCACATTGCGCCTCAAAAACTGCCTCCCTCACCATTCTTCAGCTTAGAGCTGTTGCCGTTTCGCGCGTGCCTCCGCGACCGCGCGTCCCAATTGCTCCCTGCACGAGTGGCCTGCAAATTTCTGCCGCGCGCCCGCATCTGCGGCGCTGCTGGCGCCCGGAGATATCCTTTGGTTTTCGGCGACGCACGCGCAATTTGCTCCTCGTCGCGCCCTCGGAATAAGTGCGAGCAGTGTACATCGGTGGCCGCGAGCTGCTGCCCCGGCAGCGATTACTATTCACGGCGCATTCGCGTCAGAATGGTGTACACACGGGCGGCGCCCCTTTTACGACCAGTCGTAAACGCGGCAGATAGCGGGTCTCACCCTGCAACGGGCAAGATCTCGCTGTCGCAAAGCCGCGCGTGGTCCTCGGCCAGAACCGACTCGCTACCGCTCCTTCCCACGCAGGCTAAGTTTCTTGCCAATCGGCCCACAATGTTCGGGCACTTTCCCGGCGACGAAGATTGGACGCCGAGCTTGTGGTGGCGTGCTGCGCGAATAGGACGGAGAGTAAAAGGGTCTGACGCTCTGCGGTGGAGCGGGAAATGTTGTTAGCTTCATCGAGCATGCGCACTTCGGGTTGTTGACCATGCCGCTCAGACCGTGAAGCGTTACCGGGAGCGGATGCGCCTGCCGGTTCGTTCCGCCCGTCTCGTCAGCTTTGTTTTCGTTCGTGATCTCTCCGGCGTCGGCGCCTTTGTCTCGCTGTTGTTGTCGCTTTTTTTTTTTGTCTGGTAGCTCGGTAATGGCTGACACGGCTGGCGCGATGCGTTCTGCTCAAAGTGAAGCGACGCGCGGTGATTGGAATTGGGGGAGGCTTGGTTCGAGCGCCCAATAGCTTCTCCAGTGCAGGGTTGAGAGCTTTGAGCAATGGTAGGCCGGCTCTCTTTTGGTACGGCGTCCGTTTTACTGTCATTACAAGGCTGGGTGGTTTCACTTTAATCTTGCCAAGCCTGGTGTCAGTGTCAGGTGATTTTATCCGCGGTTGCGAACATCGTGAACCTAGACCTCTTTGTAGCGTTAAACGAGTACTACTCTTGCTTAGTGTCGAGGGGCCGATCAATACTTCCGCGATATCATCTCGGTGAGGACTCGAATTTTTCGATCGCTAGCTATAGCTCCGCTGCTTCGTACCGTTTCATTTGTGGGCTGTCTTTTTTTTTTTCTGTAAGTGTACTTATCGCACCACGTAATGAAGCTGTTCCACCGTTTCATTTCTTTCTGAGGGATCGATGTGATCGCGTTCATTTCTGGGTGATTTCGGGGCGAAGTACTGTCGCTTTCGGCACGACCGTGATATTGTTTCTAGAATGCATGGCGTCGCTGTTTCTTACCATGTCTAGCTTCTCATCATCTCTGCAACATCTTTTCTCCC